TACATGACAGATGTGCATATTTGGAGCCTTAAATACACAGAAGCAGAGAGGCAACTGTGCATATTATCTACCAAGAGACAGCAGCAGACACTCGCCAAAAAATACAGACAGAAAGGGACAAGAAAGACAGATAGACATAGTAAGATAGCAAAAAAAGGAACGGAGGGGAGAATCAATAAAACGATACAATCTGAACTTTACGCGAATTAAAAAATGCAAATATATCTTTACATATGCATCAGTATTAAAAATAATACACGCTGGAACCAACAGGAGCGGGAGCAGGAGGAGGAGGAGGAGAGGTGGAGGAGGAGGAGGAGAGGAGGAGGAGGAGGAGGAGGAGGAAAGAATGGAGGCGCCGCGGAGCCCTGATTATGCATGGGCTGGAGCTGCCTCCTCTAACCTGTTCTTCTCCGAGCCCGGCAGCCGGCGGTCCTCAGCCGCCCACAGAACAGGAGCCGAAACAACCGTTCCCGAAGGCTACAGCGTTTATTTTTCTCTTTTGGGGGTTTTGGCGGTTGTTTCAGGGGCTCGCCAACTGGCCCCTTTAATTAAAAGCTTCAATAAAAGGCGATCGCGCCAGGAATGCACCGGCTCCTCTCCGCGCAGGATTTGCATATTTTTTTAATGCCCTAATTTCCTTGATGTATGTAAATGTAGCCGGACGTAGAGGGAGACAGGGAGCTGACGTCAATGGACGTGACCTCGCAGCTAAACCTTGAACGTGAAGCCGGGATGGGGGAAAACACGGAGCGGCAGCCGGCGGAGCCCGCTAGTGCGGGCGGCGGCAGCGGCAGTAGCCAAGCCCAGGCCGGAGGAGGCCAACGGGCCCCGTCCCAACCCCGGGGAGGACGAGACTCCGTCTTCTTTCGCCACTGCCTGGCTTCCAGACTCTCCAGCCTTCCGGCCGCACACACACGCTCTTGTCTTGCGCCTCCAACCCCACCAAATACACGTTCTTTTGCTTCCCTCAGAAAAACAGCACACTCAAAAACAACAAACCAAAATCAACAGATAACAAACCAGATCAGATCCCCAAATGTTATAAGACCAATGCTCAGGTAGCTTATTAGAAAGAAGACTGACAATGGAACATAATTTTTTGTTTTTTTCGTTTCTTTTTGTGGCTTTTTTTTTTGTTTTTTTTTGGCTTCTCTCCACAACAAGAAGAGGGGGCAACCTCAGACAACAGCAAATCATTCCTAAAACATGATAAGCTACACGTGTTTCCAATAGGGAGAGGTAAATCGCCCAGCCGACTGGTGGGAGCTTCTGTTTTTGGTACCTATTTACCTGTGCACTCATTAAGCGCGTCAGCTTCATTAACAGGCATGCTGTTAGCCTGCGTTGTAATGTGATGAAGTGTGCGTGCGTGTGTGTGTGTGTGTGTGTGTGTGTGTGTGTGTGTGTTTTAAAGGGGTGCTTGGGCTGGTGAGCACCAAGGCAGGGGCTGCGAGCGAGATGAGAGAGAGATTGGTGATTCTCCGGGACCGCCTCTGGGATTTATCTGCGGGGCCATCTCAGCCAGAGATCCTGGGCTGGAGTTCGAGTTTCACCCATTTGGGGAGGCAGGGTGTGCTGGTCAGAGAAGGCTCTCTCTCTGAACAGCCAGGCCTTTCCTATTACACTGTGTGGGAGGAGGGCTTTTGAGGTGTAAGCCGTTCCGTGGTCGCAGCCCGGGGCGCTGCCTCGCTGGGTTCAGCCTGGTGTGTTTTTATCTTGGAGCTCAGCAGCCTCGGCGACGAGGTAGCGACTCTCGGCTACCCGGCAGGGAGGCCTTCACACTACTCCCCACCCCCGCCCCTCACCCAGCACCGCGCGCCGGCGTGTGCGTGCCTGCGCACCGGGCGGGAGCCACTGGCACCTCCCAGTGCACATCCGCCCCCGCTTCTGCTCGCTCCCCATTCCTAGGCAGCCAAGAAATGATCCTCGGCCTCCTCTGGGCCGGGGCCGTGTGAAGCCCCAGGCTGAGGGCAGAGCCGCTGGCTGGCGAGGAAGGGGCGCCGGAGGACGCGGTGTCGGCTTCCCAGTCCTGCCCTTGGCCGCCACAGCTGCCGTTTCTTCGTTTCACCTCGCAACCTTAGCTTTGTTTTCCTGACACGCTCGTGGCTACCGGGCCCCACGCCTTCGAGGGGAGTGTATGCGTGTGCGCGGGGGGCGGGCGCGCGCGGCGGGCGGGGGCCCTCCCGCCAAGGACACGCATGGCTGTCTGTCCTCCGGCTGCACTTGGCGGGAAAGCTGGGGGCAGCCGGCGGGTCTTTGCGCCGGCGGCTCTCATTACCACCTCCTTTCTGCCCACCCCCCCTCCCCCCGGCCGCATTTACATACGGGCCACTCGCCTGAATTTTTATAGCCCCCGTTCCGCCCCCGGTCGCACGCGCGCAGGCTCTGACCAAGTGCCCGCGCGCGCAGACACCCGCGCCCAGGCTGCGGCCGGCTGGGAGCGCAAGCAGGCCCAGGGGTGCAAGCCGCCCTCGGCGAGACAGATTCTTGCACCCTCCCTCTCGTGCCTACACCCCTGACAGCCTCCCGGCTCGTGTTCCAGGAAGCCCACTTTGCCCCCACCCTTCTCTCCCTGCACACTCCCACCCACACCCTCCCACATCTCTTTGCCTCTTTTCCTGGAACACACACACACACACACACACACACACACACACACACGCTTTTTCTTCCCCCTCAAATAGATAACCCCTATGGCGCGTCCCTGGTACCTTTTGAATAGCTCTGGAGTTTAAAGAATAAAAATCCTTATAATGTATTGCTTGTCTTCAGCCAAACACATTTGACGACCACAACAAAAAGAGAAGGAGGCGTGAGGAAAGGGGACTTGAACCAAAAGACCTTTCTTTTTTTTTTTTTTTTTTTAAGTCCGCAAGTCAAAAGGTCATTCTCCAAGTTTGTAAATAAAATTGCAAAGGGAGTCCTTAAAAAAAAGAAAGAAGGAGAGGAAAGAAGGAAGGTAGAAAAGATCCACAAGTTACATAAAATGGTGCATTGGAAAAACAAGACAGGCCTATTCTTTAAAAAGAGAGAGAGAGGGAGAGAAAGTCTAAAGAAATCAAGAGGAAAATAGAACCCGGGGGGGGGGGGGCCAGGAGAAAATAAAAGATAGAAAAGGCAAGAGAAGTTTCCAAAGAAATGTGTGCTTTGCATCCTACAATAGGAAAATGTAGCCATTGCCCTCCTTCAGACGAGACATTTCTAATTTGTTCCGTCTGTCATGAGGGGACTATGAGAGGTTTGGGTGCAAATTCATTATCTCTGGCAACGCAGAACGTAGTGTGGGGACTGAAAAAGACCGTGGCAATGGATGAACAATAGGGCTTCAGTTCATCAGTAACAAAAGCAGTGGGGAAATTGGTTGAGTTTCAGAGCACGTCCTCCTCGGCAGAGGGGGCTGGACTAGACCTTGGACAGCCCCCCCAAAAACTTGCCGAGCCTCGCACACACCACTTCACTCTCCACTCCGAGGCTCAGGGAGCAAGTGCCTGGAGTGGGGGGGAAAAGTTGGCTTTTTTCTTCCTTCGTCTTTTGCGTCCTTCTCTCTCTCCCAAGAAGGGAAGATCCGTTTAAACTATTTTAGACGCAATCAAGCAAGAATCACCGTGTGGAATTGAGCGGCAGTTTTAAATGTGCTAAGGAGAGGAATGATCTGAAAAAAAATTTTTTTTCTTTTTTTGAGACGCCGAAAGGAGCATGCTTTTGCACTGCGGCCGCCCTGTGTGTGACTGACTCTGGATCTTGTCTTCTGGCCAGCGCCTCGATTCCTGCTCAGCTGGATTTGGGGGGCAACACTGCCTCGCGCAGGGAGGAGAGCAAGTGAGTACCGTCGCGGCCCGCAGGCGGCAACTCGGTCGGCGGCACAGGGCCAACAGCCCGCTGCAGCCCCGCGCCCGCGCTCCTCACCTCGTCCTCCAGCCGGTGACCGCAGAGCCCCGCTGCGGGTCGCTCCGCGGGCCAGTCCGGGGCTTTGCTTCAGCTAATTGATTGTGAGTCTCGGATGCTAAACCTGTTGATCTCTTGAGTTGTCTGAGCCAGAACTGTTAATTATCCAGCGGTCTGACCCCCAATTGCAGAGAGATGCCAGGAAAATTTCACATGGGAAAGAGGAATTTTGTATGTAATTTTGTGTTGTTGGTGGGGGGACTTTTTTCTTATAAACCTAGAGCTAAGTACAATCGTATTTTGCGTTCCTGGATTCAGGATTTGCATTTTGTTGAATAAATCTTTTAACCACCTCAAAGTTGCAATCACCTGGCAACGAAGTGAGGCTCTGACTGGATTCTGGTGTAAACTTTATGTACACTAGCTAACTAGACCTAATGGATTTCCACTTTCTCTTTCTCTTGCCTTTTGAATTCTGGGAGCCGAGAGGCCGCTTTACAGGGTTATCCTAAGTTCAGATTCATCAAGATAACAGCCACCATGGTTAGTTATTGGGACTTGGAGCATTTCAGCTTCAGATGCTTCTGGTATCTGAGCGGATCCCGGTCCCTGCAGTTTGCCTGGAGCCCAGACCCCGCGGAGGGAGGCAAGACCTTCCTTCGGTGGCCTGGAATTGTCTGAGGGAACACGGGGAGGTGGGAACTGTATTTGCATAGGTGTCTGCGGCGTTTTCTCTTGCAAATGTACCGGCGCTGCTTGAATGGGGGACTGTCTTATGGGGTCAGGGCAGCAGTGGTATTGATCAGAAGTTAGACCGGAGGCCCTGTCAAGTCACGGCCATGGCCGGAGGCTCTTTTGGAGCCGTGGCTGCCTTGGGCCCAGAATGGCAGGGTCGGATCCAGTTTCCTCCCTCTTCTGGTGCCCAACTCTTCCCAGCACCCTTCTTCCCCACCTTGCCACAAGTAATTAGGGCCCTGTCTCAGGAAAGGAGCTCCCATAGTCAGCATAATTGAACCAGTGGAGTACTTTCATTTTGCAAAACCAGTAGCCCCACCCCACTACTCCAAAATAACAATAAGCATTAAAAAAAATCATAAAAGAAACGCAACCTATTTTCGAGAGAGTAAGACTTCTTTAATATATTGAGTCATGAAGGAATGGGGGAAGGGAATAAAAAAATCCACCACTTTACAGCAATCAGGTTTTACATTATTCATTGATTTACTGAAGGAAATAGCCAATCAGGAGCCATAGATATGAATGCACATCTCACCGTGCAGTGGCCTTACAGTAAACTATTTGCATCTTTCTAATGGATTAGATATTTATCTAGGGATTCCCATTGTTTGAAAGGCCTGGAAATCTAGTTCCTTAAACATTTAGAAAATATGACTTTGTTCCAGTCTTGAAATTCTTACATGGAAGAACTCTCCTTCGCCTTTTGTATGGCAGGTTATAGTGTTCAAATCCCTAATGTTTTTTAAGAGTCCCTCTTCTTCCAAGCTAAAAATAAAAGAAAAGAAGAAAGAAAAAAATTAATTTCCTAAACCCCTCCAGATTCTGCATATTTTGCATTCCTATTATCATGCATGTCTCCATTTAAATGCAAATTAGCATATTTAACCCTGTGGGTGCTGAAGCCCAGCATACATTGTACTGAGGTTTTTTGGAATCTCTTGGCATTTAAAGGGATCATGGTAATTGTGATACTTTAAAATGAAGCCAAATCTAAACATGATTGTATAGATATATGTATATATTAAAACTGTGATTATTTGTTTTCTTGACTGTTTTTCAGAAGAGACTACAAAGAAGCATAAAATGAATAGACAATACAACCAGCCAAAGGTAATTTAAATTTTTACATTTGGTAAAATAAAAATGACGTACAAAGTCCAAATAGAATATCATTTGCTGGGTGGTAGGTCTGTAGTGTATTGCATATGTCCCAGTTCATGCAATAGGTACAGTTCCAGAAAAATCTAAGTTTCCATATGTGCAGTTTTTTCCCCTGTATGTAGCCTTTGTATACTATGTATCAGGGATAATGCAAACATAACCTGTAACTGCCTATAAAAAATGAAATTCGGGATACAGAAGACATAATAGGACACTTTTTTTAGAAAGTAAGCCAGACAAGTACCTTGCCTGAACTATACAAATCACTGTAAATTAAATGGCTTTTATGTAGAAAATGGTAGTGTTGACTGTATTAGTGGACTGTGGTTTACACACATAAGAATCTACAAACTCAGTGTTAAAAAGGGATTTCAGTAATAGGCCAATTTTTTATATACCATGCAGTAGTCTGAATAGGATTCAGAGAGGTATTGTAAATATTAGTAGCAAACCTGATTATTTGCATTTATGGAATAGCATGAGTCTGATCCAAATATGTGGAAAATCATAACTTTTCACTTCTGACTTAAGCAGAGATTGTTTATTCCCAAGAAAACCAGGATGTTTCAATTCATGTTTCAGCCATCTGGAGACCTATAAAAAGATGAGAAAACAAGCATGACAATCATGTCCTAATCTACTGGCCATTAATGGGAATTTATTAGAGAATGAGCAAGCAAGCCATTTGAATTCAGTACATCCTTCAATATGCAGATTTCAAAAAGGGTATTCTGTAACTCAGATAAATAGCTTTCTGAAAAACAGAAATATCTGAAATATAAACATGTAGGTGTTAATAGTTGCTCATAACAATGCATGGCAGGCATTTCTGGGAATCAGCACAATTGTTTCAACTGTTTCAAATCCCAAGTAATAATAGAGTCCTTGAACTGTATATGATAAACCATGGTATGGATGTTGGCAATATTCAAAATAATCAGGTGTTCAGTACTAAGCCTTGCTATATATCTTTTATTTCTCCATACCTTGAAAGAGGATAGAGAGGTAAAATATTTGATTGGCTATATGGCTAATGAGCACACTGCCCATAATCATTATGTTAGCCATTTTCACTTTTTGGAGCTCTCACAATGAATCTACAGTATATGTGGCATGCATGGGGGCCAATCCTGGAGTCAGCTGATATGACTATGTGGCACTGCTTTAGAATATGCTATTTTAAGACAGTATTTTCTGTAGCTTCTAAGTGTAGAAGCACTTCAAATGGTCAGTGTCTTGGCTTTCTTGATAGTTACTTGGGTTCAAAAATGCATTTAATTTTTAAATGTGGAAATGTAGCCACACTAATTTGTGAATTCACACAAATATGGACTGACACACAGAGACATACATGTATCACATCTCTAGTTTCACCACCCCCCACCCAGACATATGTAAAGCAAAAAGATATTCTAAAAATATCTGGCATTCCTTAGGGTTTTGACTTAAAGAATTGAATTCATCTGATCATATGCTTGCATTATGTAGTACATGCCAAATCACTAATGATTCTGCTTCGAGGTCTTGGAAAGCAAAGCCAAAATACTCTCAATCTTCCAAGGCAGCAAAGCTCATTATGGTTTTACATAATGTCAAAGTGGCATGTGCCTCAGTGATGTGTTCAATTCTATCCATTAGTTTATGTTGTGACCTCATAGTTCAAGAAGGAGCAGTAACTCTATGGGAGTGTGTTTCTCTGAATTACTTTGTAGTTTGCATGTACATTTTATATGTAACCCAATGCAGCCATTTCTGATCATACTTCTTGTACCAAGATTTGATAAGAAAGATACATATACTATTTCCCCAACTTAGACTTTTCTAGATAATAAGAACATGAATGCTCACCAAAAAAAAAAAAAAAAAAAAAAGTAAATAAAAATCTAAGGGAAATTGGCATCCATGTTTCTAAATTGTATCTTTAATTGGTGTAATATTATTGTTTGAACTCTAGATTGGGGCTTAGCAATTTTGGTTTTCTTTACTTGTCAGTCTTTTCTCTGGATTTATATATGTATGCTCTGTATGTAATTTGGTAAGCATATTCACACTCATGTCTTAACGTGAATAAATTTCTGAATTAATGGAAGAGTATATATTAATGCTGAAAGTGTTTTAGTCATTGGGGAAAATAGTCAACCTAAAGAAATGAGAGTATTGTGATAAACTAGTGATGTGTGAAATGAATATGAAGGTTTATAACATTCGCTTGTAGCATATATTTTAAAGAACAGTAACACCACCAAACAGGACTCCTAATTTTGGAAAACAATCAGTAAAGTTCACCCAGGGTGGATATGCACCTTATGTGGGCTGCACCTTAGATATTCTGTTGTGGGGCATCTGACTCTTAGAACTGTACATATTATAGATGCATTAAACATAGATTACCCATTACGAAGGAGGAGAAGAAAAGAGCTTTTTTAAGTGACCATATTTACACTTTGAAAAGTCCTAAGAGAGGAAGGAGGCTAATTAATTAATAAAACAATAGTCCCCTCTAGATAGAAGAAAGGTGGGGGTGGGGAAGGGGAAGGAGGGGTGGAGTTATGCTCTTACCACCCAGGTGTTTTGTCTTTTTCATGAGGTAACAATACTTTTTTCATAATTTCATAAGGAATACTAGTGTATTTTGTCCTTCTGTACGAACATTGATGCTTGAAACTATAAACAAAGGCTCAGCATTTTTATTACAGCAGAGTTGTGTACAACAGTAGAAACTAATGCTGCAGTGCTTACCTGTGCCATATTCTAAGGCACACACCCTATACAGTCATTAAAACAAACAAACCAAACAAACAAACAAACAAAACAGGATGAAGTCGGCCTGCTTAGAGCATTCCGTTTGAACTTAACAGAGCAAAATATGCTGCCCTATCGCCATGGTACATAGATACAAAACATGACTGAGCTGTGAAGCCATTAAAAACACACCACCAGAGCAAATTGTCAATGTAATCACACATCGACTCACTGCGTAATACAGATCTGATTCCCAGCCCCACAAAGCAAGGCCCTGCTTTAAGCAATAGCAAAGTGCCTTCCATCTGTCTGCCCATGCAATCTGCCAGAAGAGAAACGCAGGCAAAGACGTTCCCCAGATCTGAAATGCTTTTATCTGTCCTTAGAGAGAGATTTCTTCCAGTCTTTGGATATTAGAGCGATCTACAGTAGCACCGAAGAGGTAAAAGGCCGCGGGTTGCTTTTCCTGGAGCAGTCGGTAGTGCTAGCGGAAGAGATGTTGATTGAGAAAATAGGGCTTGTAGCGATGCTGCCGCTGCTGCTGCTGCCGCTGCCGCTGCTCGGGCAGGAGGCGTGGGGCAGTTGGCTGATCACTGATGCATATCAATAACCATGTACTTGAGATTTCTCATGACATCATCATTACCTTGGTCTCCCGCGGTCTCGAACCTTTGACCTTGCCGGGCTGGTCCACGTTTTGGCTGTGAAAGCCCCTCCAATGATGGCCCTTTTCTCCTTCTTTCAGACCGGGGGCAGCAGCACACCAGCAAGACGGCATCTTCTCTTCCCCAGCCTAGAAGCCCTGTGAAATCGAGGATCTTCCCCCTAAAACACACACACACAAGATATGTGCAATCAAGCTGCCACCGCTTGGTAAAAAGCTCATGGTGCCTAACCCAAAAGGATCAGGAGCAGATCCCTGAATCAGCTGTCACCTCTTCTATAGAATGGGATGTTTTTTTTCCTTCCTCCTTAACCTGCGCTGGAAATTGCCGTTGGCTTTATACATCTCTATAGAGGGAGGCTAAAGAGTCTTGCGTGAGAATGAAGCAATTTACAATGCAAATAGAGGCCTGTGGAGGGACGGATGCTGCTGCACACTCCTAACCGCCCGCTGCATCTTAATAGCTGGTTTTATTTTCTGATATTAATAGATGAATTGTTGGCTAACGCTGCCGGAGATTACTTGCTGAAAGGAAAAAAAAAAGTTCGGAATAAACTTTGAAAGCAACAGATCTCGTTTGGATGTTTTAGCCGCACACACAAACAGAAACCAGGTCATATTCACATACAAGAAGGAATCTTGTGCACGGCAAGTGTCCTGGAGGACTGCTCTTCGGTACTGCCAGAGAGAGCGGGATCTGGAATCTGGCCAGAGGAAGACAGAGGCGTGTGAGGGAAGCGAGTTGTTATCTTTGGTTATCTAGCTGTATGAGTGTATTGGTCTTCATAAAGCTAGATAACCGAAAGTAAAAACTCCTTCAAGATCGCCGGGGAGCGTGTGAGAATGAAAGACTACAACCAAGAGACAGTAAAAACCAGAAAGGTCAGGAATACTTATTGAATCTAACTTTGCTTTTGTTTTTGTTTTTGTTCTTTTTCCTTATGTTAGAGGTGGGATTAGAAGAAATTAAGTGACACACAGATGCCAAAATAGAAAGGTGCCAGCTACTTTGAGAGGTGTTGTTACAGCTGCCGAGGAGAATTGTATAGTGCTAATCAGTAAAGATGCATGTATAGTTTTTAAGGCCAAAGTTTATACGAGGTTCCCCCCCCTCCCACCTTAGAAAGCTGTTGTAGAGACGTCTGGTATCTAGTTTAAGAATGATTTCATAATACATAGACTTAGGCTATTTACTTCTGAGGTCTCCCTCCCCTGAAAAATTTGAAGACTGTGTTTGGAAACTACATGTACTGGGGTTGTATATCAAATTATATTAAATTAGACTTTCAGAAAAGTTTATAATGGAAGGTTAATAATTTGTAACTACTGAGGACATACAGCTAGCAGAGAAAATGCAAAAAAAAAAAAAAAAGAAAAAAAACACACACACACAGCAAAGGCTGATTTTTTATTCTTCTATTCAAAATACAAGGACAGATGCTTCTCTGTTCCAAGAGGGTTTCCTTGAGGAAGCTACTGAAGCAGAAAGACATGATGGAGACGAGATCGCCTCCCCTCTTGTCAAAGTGTTAAAAAAATGTTCTGTCTTACTCTGCGCCTAGCATTGGAAATGAAAGTGACATTTACGCCACAACCCACGTGTGCGCCTCCTCTCTTTTTGTTTAAGGATGATCAGGTCTATCCAGGAAACAGCTCTGGCATCCCAAACTGAAATAATTAGGACGTATATAGACCTGACAAAAATGGAAAGGGGGTGGGGAATCTGAGGGTCTGTCTTGCCTAATTGATTCCGATAAACGGAATGCAGGAGATGTGAACGGCAGGACGCTCCGATTCCCACGCTCGGGGGCAAGTGGTAAAGCGGGCCGGCAGCCTATGACAGACAGCCCTGTTGGGGGGTGGGGGTATGAAAAAAACATCAAGCGCACACACCATACTCATCTCCATCGCTTAAGAAAGTAGAGGCATTTCCCACCCACAGCCATCTGCAGCCTCCCAAATGGTAGTACCAACTGGTCTGTAGCTGCTGCATACATGCTGTCTGTTTCTGTTAATTCTGTAACCACTGTTTAATTTGGCCATAATTAAGTTCAAGTTTCTTCTTTGGTTAAGATTTTCAATATTTAAGGAAAGCTAGTAGAAAGCAGTTCCAAAAAGTTTCCGCCTGCCCTTCGTGTCAAATTCTCAGTCTGTACTTTTGGCCTTGTGACTGCCTTTTGACTTGTTTGGGGTGGATTATATTTAAAAATGCAACTTTATATAACAGACATTATTATTGCTTCATCAGGCTGTTTACCCCTTGACATGATCTATGTAGGAACTTGGCCTAATTATGCCAGTAGACGCAGTGGAAGTAAAACTATAAAATCATCAGCCTATAGAAAGTTAATTACAATAATAATATGATAAAATGTTGTTTTGATATAGTTCCAGTGAGATGCATTCTAAACAGCCATTTTTATTTACTCTAAAAATGACTATACTTAGCAGAAACTTTGGGACTTTGGAGGTCCCCACTGTAATCTTTTCATAAAAGTTCTTACATTGTTCCACGTGTCAACAAGCAAACATTTGTATAGGCATTAAACGTAAATACAAACATTGCAATAAGAAAATGCCTAACATGGCCTGTTATCTTCCATGTGGCCTAGATTACTGACAGTCCCAAATCCCAAATATATACAGTTTTTCTTGAAAAGCATTACATTTTTCTTTGTAGCTTCAGCACCTTATAAGACTTCAGACTGGAAAAGCGTGTAAAACTACTGTTAGTTTCAGTTAGAAACTCTGAGAGACTTTATTAACGTAAATTCTCATTATGGCTGCTGAACACGTGCCAAAGTTTTACTACAGTAGTGACCGTTGAGAAGACCCTTGTTTATTTACATTTGAAGCACTGTTTGTGCAAACAACCTTTCATTGTTAAGTGCCTGTATTCCTTTCATTTACTTCATGTCCAGGGGTGCTATTTACCTAGAACCATTGTCTACTACAATTAACATTTACATTACAAAGTGTGTGGTTTTCTTTCTCAAGGAGGTTCAATTAAGGCAATAAGATGTTTGCTAGGGAAACCTATTGTTTACTGAAAGCACTCAATGGAGTCAAATTACTGAAGCTTTTGCTTACATCTTGGTCTTTTATGTAAATGTGTTAAATATAACATCTAAGGAAAATAAACAATATTATAATTATGTGTTTGCCATTGTCATATCAAACTTGCTTTGTACCATACTAATGTTACATGACTTATCAATCAATAAAAATACATTTCAATGTTATTATTTTCATTTTATTTTTTGCTGTTCCACTATTCTTGATGCAACATGTCCCAATTTTTCTTTTTTCTATTGCACATCAAATTTCTGACATTTTGTTTTATTTGTGTGTGTTGAAGAGAGGTGCTGTATCTGAGCATGGGTCTGAAGGATGTCCAAGGTAATCTCTACAATGACCTTATAATAAGGTGATATTTCTTTGAAATCTGAAATATTCCAAAGGCATGTACATATAAGTCAAAGGAAGTGTAAATATCAGTTAAGTAGTTCTTTGAAAGCTAGTTTTAACATTGGCAGAAACCGGATCAAGTTTATTTAGCATACCACTGCATTGTAAAACAGTTGGAGTGAAGTTGCAGGTTGCGTGAGTATGCATGTTAACTAGTGGGAACCAAGCTCAGTCTTTGTGAAAGGGGAGCAGCAGATTGCTGTGCAAGGCCAATGTTAAAAAGGCAGCTGAATTTAACACCATCTGGAAGAAAAGATCCCTTCACGACTTTCTCACACCGTCAGACAAAACTAGTGTCTCTTGTTCCGAGCCCTTGTCTATGCAACCATACAATACTGAGTCATTATACTTTTGCTGAGAGAAAATTTGAGAACACAATATGGGTAACCAGTGAATGACCAAGTTTCATTGTGCCCGCTTAAGTCGATTGAAATCTACGTCTAGAGCTATGAATGGTAGTATTGTTTTCCTCACCAGGGCTGTACTAAATGTCAGCACAGTGTAAAGAAAAACTTGAAGTCTGCAAATAACTTACCAGATCTCAATTATAATATTTTCCCACACTAGAACTAATATCATTGCGAGGGGCTACATTGCAGAAAATACAAAAAGAAACGAAAAGAAATAGAGAGTTCATTTAGAAGTTATTTTATCCAGACAAACATTTTAATTTTCTGATGGGAACTTCAATTCAGGCTGCAGGCTGGGTTGAGAAGCAGAATTCCTTACTGGGAAGTTCAAGTTACAAAAATGCTTCTTGTGCAATTAAAATAGAATAAAACAAACAACTACTCCCACCTGAAACCCTCCCTTCCTAGATATAAGGAGCCTTTACTCAGGTTTTATTGGCTTTAGCTCTGCTTAGAATTATTACTGTGGATCTAACCTAAATTTTGCTTTAAGTTTTGGCAGACACCGCTCTTTCAGAGTTTGCCACTATGATTGACATTGCAAAAGAACATCATAGATGTAAATTTCCAAAAATACACAACACTCTGGCACCTCCCTAGGTGGATTCTGGTACCCTCAGGAATACACCTCCCTTTGTGTTACACCTCCTCCCCATTTTCTAACTTTTCTTTTCTCATGATGTGTGTGAGTCAGTTATTATACTTAGATTTAACATTCACATAATCTATTTAACTGTAAACAGTCAGAAAAAGAAGCAAAACAGTTCAAAAAGAGTAAAAGGAGTTGGTTGCGTATGTTTTATTAGGTTGTCTCTTTTAAATATAATTGACTTTGCAATTTTGTTATTGTGTCACCAAGTGTCGCATAGTTCTTAACATGTAAGTGCAAAACAATGAGTAATTGCTGTTTTGCTGAATAATACATCTGAGTTGCCAACGTCAAAGGTATTATTTTGTGTATTTCTAAACAGGAGCGTTAACTGCAGGTTTTGACATCTAGAATCTTTTCATGAAATACTTAAAAAAATTGGCCAATGGAATGACACCTGTAAAAGGAAATATAAGGATATAGCCAACTGATTTTCCTTGCCCTACTTTATACTAGAAAATTAACAATAAAAGGTCACTTAATAATAGAATTATAAAGGATATAACATAAAAACACAGTCATTCAGAAAAATCCAAACAACAACAAAAGTGGAAATTGG